CGATTTAACAAGATCACCGAAAAGATGCTGGAAATGGCGAATGCAGCAGAAGTAGGAGTCAAGACATGCAAAAGAAGGATGGCCTACCTAGAGACTGCTCCTCGTTTATTGAATGCGTGCAAGATATGATGGATGCAAGCGTGCGAGGAAGTCAGGATGAAGTAGAGTGGCCTACAAAAACCAAAAATCACACCATGGATGTAGAGGAGGAGGAGGGAACTAGAACGATGGAAAGGAGAGAGCATCGAGTGAAGGGAGGAGGCAAGATCAGAGGAAATCAAGATCTATAGGAAGAAGAGAGCCATGGGTGTGGGAAACCTGGACACCTGGTGGTGCAATGCCCTGCGCTAAATATTTTGAGTGCAGTATTGAGGGACACATTGATAAGCATTGTCTTTCCTAGTACCAGAGAAGAGAAATGCCCAGAGAACAACCTATGGAAGTCAATGTCCAGAAGGTATGGAAGAAGAGTAGGGCACCGTCAGAATCAACAAGATCGTTGGAAACGTCCGAGACTGATGGAGAGACTTTAGAACTAGCGAGCAGCTGAGGCAAAGGAGACAGGACCAAGCTAAGAAGCTAATATTGGTGTGCAGCAGCAGGAGGGAGTGATTATAGGACTCAGGGTTGCATCAGATGGGCTACCATGTGCTAGTGAACTGCAGTGTCAGGAGTGTGAGTATGGAAGTCTCAAATCAACGGCTTAAAGGTTCGAGTCGTAGGTAGGGAGTAAGCTTCGGGAATATGATGGAACTATAAGGAGCAATCTGCTGGGGAAGTACGGAGTGAGAATTTTTATATATATATATATATATATATTTTATAATTGGAAAATTTACTTGACATTAGTATGTTAATTGTAAATTATTTGTTCATTAATTGCAATATGGATAATTTTAATTATAATCTATATAAATAAAATAAAGGTTTTCTCTTTACATTGAAGATAATCAACCCGTTTCATGATATCTTTCTGTTTCATACATTACAGAAACCAAATCCACTTTAAACAAATTTTATTATCTGTCTTTATGTCGGCATTGTCCAACAAAACTTTGTCAGGAGTAAGCTCAGCAATGACAAATGGTAGATTTTTGATATTATATTTAGGTTTGCTTGACTTAAAACATAGGCTTTAAATGAAAACATAATATTGAGTAGAACCAAAGTTATGAGTTCTTGAGTAATTTGTCTAGAGATCCTGGTCAGGCAGTTACTTTGATTTTCATTCCAACCCACTCTACCGCGAGTTGTACTATTCAACTGATGGAAAAAATTATCACAACTCAACAGGGAAAAATCTGAAATCCCGAACATCTGCAACACATTGTTGCTTAAAACACTGATAAAACACACTCATTTTTCAACTTTGTCCGATCTTCCTGTTCAAGGTGTCATTCGATTCAACTTCCCGAGTCTAACAAATGTTGTCATGTATATTTTTAGGATTAACCAAACTGATTAGTCGGAAATCAGAAAAAAATTTCATTCCATCCGCCACAATATTCAGATAAAGTACTAATTTTAAACGGATTTAGGTGACTCTATGTCCAATGTTATTTTTCAGCGATAAACTCAGCAATGCCTAATGGTAAACTTTCGAATTTTTACATTAAAGTTAAGTTTGTTTGGCTTAAAACAGGCTTTGAGTAAAAACAAAATATTGAGTAGAACCATAGTTATGAATTCTTGAATAATTTGTATTAAACTAGAGATACCGGTTTAGAACCCAGCGGGAAAAAACCGAAATCCCGGACTTCCGCTTAAGAATCAACACGCTGTTTTAAGGGTCAGTAGTTACGTTTATCCTATTGATCTGCTCGAGATGTCATTCTATCAAGCTCGCGAAGTCAAATAAATATGTTCATATTTTTTTTTCTTGATTAAATATATGGAATGACCGCTTAAAAAAAAAAAGTTTCACCCAATCTACCAGGAAAACTCTGACATCCACACTTGAGCGCCCAAATCATGCTGTTTCGCTTAGTCGCCTTCACCTAGATTACTACCCGTTTCATAGACATGATACATGGTCAAAATTTCGACTAAAATTGTTCACTCATTAGCTCTATCATCTTCATTATCTGTCAAGGAAGTAAAAATTTGTTTCACTTATAGATTTGCAATTTTAAATAAATATTTTACTCAAACCCATACCAGACTGAAACGGCTAGAAACCGCCCGACATTTTCGGCTACTGCATCACTTACTAGACAAACACTCTAAACTTCCAGCTATTTACAAAAGACTCATATACACTGACAGGCAAAAAATTCCACCCACTTGATTTTTTCATGTTTTCATCTAAAAATATTTCTGCTTTGGATTGGTCTATTGTTTTTAATGAATAAATAGGTAATATTTTTGTTTGTTTTCAATTAGGAATGTTAATGTTAATGGAGGACAATAACCCTTAATCCTTAATTCAATGAAATGATCCTAGATTCCAATGTTTACTTTCTATGGAATCAAAATGTTTATTCAGTATCATTAGTTCAGTGCTGTTTCTTGCAGCACATTTCTTAGTCTCCGGCTTTTAATTTTTTTCAATATTAAGTTTAAAAATGCCTCTTAGTGCTGAGGATGTTGCATGTGGTGTGGCACTTATTGATGATGTACGTTCCATTAGATATGCAGCTAATGCCATCGGAGTTCCATATGAAACTTTACGAGACGCCGTCAGGCATTTTCGGGAAACTGGTTTTTACAATAGAAGGCCCGGTTCTGGATGGCCTAGGATAACAGAACCATGGGATGACCGGTTTTTGACTTTGAGAATTTTACGAAACCGGCACCTTACTGTTGTTTAAGCGATTCATCAGCTCGAAGAAGTTCGAGGTGTGGAAATTTCTGAACGTACCGCTCTGAGAAGATTAAATGAGTATGTATTAATAGCTTTTCATCCAGTAAGAGGACCAGAGTTGACCAGAACTCACAGAGTAACACGGCTGCCTTTTGCTCGAGAACACAGCCATTGGACTATGGGATCGAGCTTTGTGGTTCTACTAAACCATCAAATTCCTCTCGTATTCAATCCTTTCAATCCAAAATCCTTTGGAAAATTGTCAATGCCCCCTATTTTGTCACAAATAAAATCATCCATCACAACCTTAATGTACCATATGTTTCCTATTTAGCTCAATCCAGATACCTATCCTTCCATAATAAATTTCTGAACCATTCTAACCATCTTGTTTCCAACCTTGCTTCCTCTTCTATTCCTGATAACCCTCCGAGGTGTCTGAAAAGAAGATGTCCTCGGGACCTTCTAATAAAGAAATATAATTGGAGTGCTACCAATGGGTGGTTTCTCTTCATATTGTACATGTCATGTTACTTATTTCATATTTCCTTGTTGTATTTATCATTTGATACAGTTGTAAATTTCAATAATATAAAAAAAGAAAAGTTTTTAAGTACTCAGATTTTAAATCTTGAATTAAATTGATTAATAAATACCTGTTGATATTCAAATAATTTATAATAGACATAAACAAAATCTAAATATATAAAATAATTTTTTTTTTTAATTATCAGGTTGCAATTTGCTTGGTATTTGAAATCGCGGATGAAATATAAGTTTTTATGCACCAGTAAAAATTTGAATGAATGAAAAGAAATGATTGACGGTTTGAATTCGTTTAATCTAAAGCTTACAATTTATTTCAAGTTAATTGAAATTAATTCGGGATCAACTGGGAACAATTAAATTTAGAAACAAGTTTTATTCAATTGAAGTTATTTCGATTGTTGTGAAAACAATAAAGCAACAGAACACTTTTTTTTTATATCTGGTCTGTCTCACCCCACTCCGTTAGCCCCCTCCATTCTCCTTTCGTTTGTTGCCCCTCTCCCTATCATTCTGAGTATACTACCAACGGTTAAGCTGTAAGGAACTAACCCTTGATAAAAACTGAGAATATTTGGAACTTTTAGATTTGAATTGGCTTTGATTATTGATATTGACTTGAATTACTGATTTATTGTTTTGATATAATTTATTTTAACCGTATTTGGTTGGGTGATAATCACAAACTTGGAATTCGATCCGCCTTCGTATATTCAATTATTTGGATAACGATTTGGTACAAATATCCTTGGGTTTTTTTTTTTGGTTTTTTTTTCTCCACAGTTTACTTAGAATTTTGATAAAAATGCCTAAAAAAAAGTCGAATTTAATCTCAATTTCCTAAACTGCCAAACTTTAAAGGAAAGTAAGGTCGAAATATCCCCTCAGGAATAAAGCTGTTCAGGTTGGGATTGATTCAAAACAAACCTCTCTCCACCCAATTTTATGAAATTAAATTTGGATTCCCACCCTCATAATACGAAATCCATCTCAAAAAAAAATTCTCAAATTTTAACTATACTGTACCTGTCAACGACAGGTACATCAGCTAATAACAATATTAAAAGGCTTAGTGAACCCGAAGGTTTGATATCGACACCACCAGTCCCTTCAGATCGGCTTAAATGCAATCTTCCCACCTTCGCTTCAGTCTACCCCTCGGACATTTACCATTTGGTATATCAAATATTAACCTTTTAGGAATTCTTTCGTTACTAAGCCCAACAATTTTACTAGCCCATTTGATTCGCTGCGATATAATTGCCTCAATTATATTAACCAGATAAATTTCATGCAATTCGGCATTGTATAACTGTCTAAACTCTCCGGTTAACTCATCCTTCTTCGGTCCGAATGTTCTACGCAATACATTATTTTCAAAAATGGAATTAGATTGGTTTATACTATGTTATCATGTTATTGGTTTATACTATGTTATTAAGTTATTGGTTTATACTATGTTATTGGAATTATTGGATAATTTTAATTGAAATTAATTAATACTTAGTTATACAGATTTTATTATATGTAACTAAATATTTTGCTTGCTTTGTAAAACAATAATTTAATTTTTTTTATTTCCAGATGTTTTGTTGAAAAAAAAAATTACAAATATCACTAAAGTAGTTCATCAAGTGTTTTATGTTTACAGATGGTGGCAATGCTTAAGACTTATACTGAAATTACCTTTTTGGTAATGCCAATCAGACAGAACAGCATCAATATTTTATTGTTTGTATTCACAATATTCTTGTTATATTTGTACATCAGTTAAGCCTATTTAATTAGACAGTATATATAAACCATGTTACAATAATTTTTATAGTTAATTAACAAACTCAATGTCTTGCAGTAAAATAATGGACTATGTTACTGTTCTGTTGTAAATTGTAGTTATTCATTATATGAATTTATGTATACTTTTAACATTTTATAAGAGATATTTTATATACAAAGTCTTTTATTAATATAGTTAACCATTTACTCTAAAACCTCCCTAAATCAAATGGATGTTATTAGTTTTGTATCCATTTATCCATTCCTATATATGTATATATTTTTTTAAATGACCTAGTCCATCATTTTGTTTTATATTGTATTAGATAATTATTATGTAAAACATATATTCTAGAGATCTTCCTAATATGGTTTTAAGTATGAAGGTATTAGAGCCTACTTTAAAATTATCAAAAAAGTAAACATGCAGGTGGGCTGATCACTTCCTTTTGTAGTGTAGGACATTTTAATTTTTAACTATTTTTATTTAAAATCTAAAAAGCATTGGTTTTTAGTTACCTTAGAGCACTTCTTATTCTAGTATTTTTTTTTTTAGTCTCCGTCATATGTTCAAAATAAGTAAAATATTTAACCGTCACTGTTCTCCCTTTGCTGTTTAAATCTAAGCACTATCTATCCTTTTCAATAATTTAAACCTCATTTTTAGTCTTCGATTACAATTTTTAATCATTGTTATTTTCTAGATTCATGAAAAAATGTAAATTATCGCTTAATCACTACGAATATATATTTTTTTCTTTTGATATATTTTCTATTTACATTTATATTCTTTCATTGTTGTTTCGATGAATATATTGTCTTGTTTTGTTGTTTAAGTTTGATAGATTAAAATCTATGAACTTTATTAACGGAACAGAACAGCTATTATATAAGACCTTTCATAAACCCAAATAGAAAGTAATAAATTTTGATTTTTTTTTTCGTATAAAATACTTATATATTTAGCAGCTTTTAGTATGAAAATTACTATTGAACTCAACTGATTACCTCATGTTTGTTGTAAATGTTCAAATTAATTTATTTAGAAAATTTTTATTGTAAATATTTTTATAGTTGGTTTTATTGATTAAAGATAAAAATTTAAAGATCTGTTTCCTTTTACATTTTATAAATATAAACAGGTTAGTTACAATCATAATCTGAAAATTTATTGCCAAATTGCCAAAAAAATTATAATTTTTATTTTATATTTCTTCTAGTCCACCTGGAGGTATTTTTGATATTTGTATATGTTTGTGATCCAAATTTGGCAGATAATAAATTATCTATATTTATAGATTTATTATTTTATTGTTAATTGTTTTGATCTCTAAAATATTATTTTTACCCATTAGAATTTATTAAATGGTGTAAACTTTCACAAATAATGCTTTGGATATTTATTTAGCCAGAGTTTCACTTATAAATTTAAAAACAATTTTTTTTTCCATTTTATTCTTTTATAATACTTAATGTTTATTTTTAAAGTGCCTAACCAGTAATTTAAACATTCTTTTTACTAAATAATTCTTTAATTTTGTAAAAAAAATTGTTCCATTTTGGGGGGAAGATTTGAAAATACAATCATTTAACTATTGTTGAAGAAATTTTTTTTATTTTGACAAAATTCATAGTTGATTAATTAGAATTATGGTTGTAGCTCATCAACATTGTTGTATAACTGGTTGTAGGTCATCACTGTTGTATAACTGGCTATAGGTCATGAACACTGTTGTATAACAGGTTGTTGGTCATCAACACCATTTTTAGGATTGGTGGCAAGAAACTTTTTTTTAGTTTCATCATAAAGATTTATTTATTATTTTTTAAAATTTGTTACCAATGAAGTATAAATAAAAAAAAGTGATAATATGCTGTGAAAAAAATGTTGGTGCTGATAAAAGCAATTAAAATTTTGATTGAGGATTCCAGGATTTTAAGTATTGGTTTCTTTTTGTAGAATGTTAAAAAACCGAAACCTACTAGTATTATATTTATGTTTGTACCTAAGTTTTGTATATTTTTTACTGAGAGTAATGCACATTTGCTAAAATCAATGTGAACTACAAAAAACTCAATTGTTTATTTTGATTTTTGGAGGGTTAGATAGGATTGTTAAATTATCATAATTTTTTTCACTTTTATTTGGATACACTAAAATGATTCCTTTGTATGATAATATTTTTATAATGTTCTTTAAATAAATTTTATTGAAATTTGATTTTTTAATGGTTCTTCATTATTGAGGTACCATTTAATTGTGATTGATTCAGTGAAGCTAATAGCAATGCCAATTTTGCGATTAGACTCTTTTATTATACAAAATTGAATGAAAATTTGGGCTAAATTACTTTTTCAGAATAATAACAGCAATAATATGACACATGAATTTTCTTATTAAAGTTTATATTCTCTCATTTTTTTTCATGCTTGTTGAGTTGGTATTATAAAAAAAAAATTCATATTTTCGATACAGTGATTTGATATTAAAGTAAGATCACAAGGAGAATTAGAAAGTTATGTTTCTCTTTTCTTTCATTTATTTATTCATTTTTTGTTGTTATTGATAAAAAAACTATACTCAATTTAAGGTTAAATATATTTATTCAAAAGATAAACATTAAGAAAAGGGCCTATCCAACTTGTATTTGGCTTGTTGAGGTCTGTGAAATTAATTATTGAATTTCTTAATTACTTATAAAATTAATTTTGTTAAAAAGCTATTAATTTTCTCTCAAAACTGAGTATATCCTATCACTAGTTGCATCGAGGTGCAGCACCCAAAAGGCTCCTGTAGCAATGAATGTTCTTTGGTGAGGCAAAGCAGCACAGCTCTCTGTAGCATTACAAAGGTGATTGATCTATTTGGCAGGATCCTCAGTGTGTTAGTACCAGTGGTACGGGCTTATAGATACTTTAAGGGAGACCGGGCATTCACTATACTTAATTAGAATATGTCTAATGAAACTAAATAAATTTCAAAAATTCATTTATAAAAAATAATTATGATATAACTTCTGAATTTCCTGAGAAGTTTTTATAAATAAATTTGATTTCATTAATGATAAGCTAAACTTCCTTAATAATTTTTTATTTTATTTTAAGAACTGAATACTTTAAAGTGTTTACATTAAATTATAATATATTGTAACATAGTCTTTTTGTCATTCAATGCAATTTTCGTCAACCAAGATCTTGTGTAGGGTCCAGCTTGTGCAAGCTTAGGGTGACACTCGTTGTTTGATTGTTTTGTACAGAGTCATCTTGGTATCCTGGTTACTACAGAGGAAACTTCTTCGGTAAACATAGTATATATTACAAAATATGCTTTGTTAGTCCACCATAATACAATTTTGAATTTCATCCATCTGATCATTTAATATGGAGCAAAGATACTTAAAACTGGGCAAATATATTGGGTTGGCAAATAAGTCCTTTCGGTTTTTCCGTTTATTTTTATGTCACTATGATACACTTCTTATCTGATGAACTAATCCCTAAGGTGGATTGTTTATCCTGTTTGTAACATGTCAACAACTATATTTGTTGGGGCCAGGGGTACTTCAAAATTAAAATACAAAAATTTCCCCGGTGAGTTTCGAGCTAAATTAAATTGTGGGTAAGAAGGGAAAAAATTAAGGAATTTGAGACCTGTAAAACATGAAAAATGCATGCACAAGAAAATATTAAAAATATAAATATTCGATTAGTAAAAATGGAAAATAAATATAAATCCCATTTTTTGAATGTTTACAATATTTATTATGGTTGAAAACAAAACAAAATGAAAGAAGAGTATTAAATGCACTGAAAGAAAATGAAACATAAAATACAATATTCAGTGAAAAAAAAATGTCCATAAAAAAAAACTTCTAAAATTAGAGAAAGTCATCCAATAAAAATAAATTTAGCGCAGAAAAAATATTTATCTAAATTAAAAATGTCTGTGGTAGCGGTCAAGGTCAGTAAAACTACCAGGTTCGCTCACTCAGAAATGCGTGGTGGGGGAACTTGAAACGTGACGTAAGGAATAGACTGCGAGACCTACCTATTACTCTTTTAAGCCTATCAATGAAGGCTTATTTCAACATTATTGTGCTTTTTTTTTTTTTGGTTTTCTAGTTAAATTTAATGAGAAGAATACTTTTCTGTGTTTTTGACGTTTGATTGAAGATAATTTCAAGCAGATAAATAAATAAATACGGCTATCAATCTAGAATAAAATGCTATAAAGATTACAGGCCAGGCCTGAAACGAAAAGAACGAAATTGATATTAAGATTATTTTTAAATTCTTTATTTCAAAATCTCTGTAAATAATATACAAATATATTACATAAATAGAAAAAACTAAGATTTATATATATTTAGAGAACATTTTAGCACAATGTTTGTGTAATTTTGTTTGTAGATCTCCTGGGTATTTCTTTTAATATTATAACGATATTATAATAATATTATAAGGGTGAAGATCTTTGTGAGGATCTGCAGTCAAAATTTCTTTAAATAAATAATTTTAATTTAAAAAATAAACAAATTTTACTGCAAATCCTGATAATTTATTTTCACCTTATAATCTTAACAGTCAACTACTAATCCGTCTCTAAAATAATATTATAACGAGTATTTTTTTTTTACTTTTAATAACATGTTACAGTGAATTCGTTTGTTCTTATAAGTATTTCTCATAATAACATAATTATTAATAGAATCCTATTGAATGCCATGTACAAAATGCGCAGTTCCATCTTGCAACAATAATCTAATTGACACAAAGAAGATGGGAAAGAAAATTTCATTTCATACTTTTCCAAAGGACGCTCGAAGAAAAGATTGGATTTTAAAATGTAAATGTAAAAATATTGTGAAAAAAAAATATTGTAAAAAAATTTACTATATTTTCTTAGGAAAAAAAGTGTAGAAATTAACGAAGAAAGCCTTTCCTTCAGCAAAGGATTTTTAATAGAATCAAATGTTTAAATACCCAATGATTTTTACAACAATTAAAAAAACATAAAATCAAAGCCAAAAAAATTGAGAAAAATCACTACATAGGATTACTTATGACATAAAAATGTAGTATTCACAAAAATTCACGGAAAGAAAACATTTCTTTAATGTTAGATTAAATACTTTTTCTTTTTTTTCAATAGTTCTATTATTTTATATTATGCTCTGTATTTATTTGAAATATTTCAAAAGTAGTATTGTGCTACTTTGCAAAAAATCATACAACAACTTGTTAAATTACATTTTATTTGCTTCGGGATAAACCAAATATCAAATCAACCTTTCTCTCACCTTTAAAATTTATTTAAATTAATAAGTTATTTGGCAATACCGTATTAATTTAATGTGTAAAAGTAAATAATAATCTTAAAATGTCCAGAAACAAAGGCCGGAGGTGTAAACTCAATCTTTTGGCTACGTCAGAGCTCAATTCCTCGCCGCCATTTTCCCTCTGAGTGAGCGAACCTGTTAGTTTTACTCACCTTGGGTAGCGGTGAGAAAAAAAAAAAAAAACGAGCCAAGTTGGAGGTTCTGCTTCCAACGAGGTTATCTTTACGATGTCCAACAATCGATGGTGGGGAAGTATCGAATCGAAAGCCTATCGATCTCGATCGATGACTGCCGATGCCCCGAACAGCAGTTCTTTGAAAATTGCGCTGGGTTGGCGCAGGTGCGGTGAGATGAATCTGGAACTGTTGGGGGTAGACGTCCACTACATGCATCTAATGTCAACAAAGGCTCGTTCCAGACTGACTTTAGACCGCGTCCTGGTAGTTTTATCGCAGTATTTTGATGTCTTAATCCCTAAGACTGGGTATTACTGCCGGGCTGGTGCATATACAAACGTTATAGTACATCGCAAATGAGGCCAAATATATAAATAATATACACTGAGCTATATTTTAGGGACACTATCTCTCAACTTTTTACAAAAAGAATAAATGAACATTTCATTATTAACATTTAAAAAGGGGTAAAACGGTGAGAAAAAAAATAAAGATATGAATGTATGCGGTAACAATATCTGTTAACTCTTGTTGAAAGTAGCTTAGTATAGTGTTTGCTATTGCACTATGAATATGGAAGAAAATATCATTCATTATCGTCATATTTTCTTCTATTATTAAAAAAAGGTAAGCGTGCTGCATCAGAAGCTCATAGAAAAAAATGTAGTGTTTATGGGGATGATGGCTTTACCGAACCCACTTGTCAAAATTGGTTTTCCAAATTTCATTCAGGAAATTTTCACATCAATGGTCTGGTCGCCCTCATGCAATTAAAACGAGCAATGTTAAGGCAATCGTTGATCAAAATCTCACCTAATCAGTGCAAGATATTGCTATGGCCCTAAATATCACAAGCCCTAAAACACACAAGCATAGAAAACCATGTGCACAAGCTCGGCTATGTTTCCAGGCTTAATGTTTGGGTCCCTCACTCTCTAACCGAAGTCGACTTGGCAACACGCATTTCTGTTTGTGATTTGTGATCAATACGGAAACAGCAACAAAACGACCTATTTTTGAAAAGATTGGTAAGAGGAGGTGAAAAATGGATATTTTACGATAATGTAATCCGTAGAAAATCTTAGGGACCTAGTAAACAATTAGAATGTCAGACAATGCTTTCCATATGGTGGAATTTCTTTGTTTTTTCGATTGTTTGTCTTAAGCAGAAAATGTGGTCAGTAGTTGAAATATTCCTTCTGAATCCTCCCTAGTAATCACCCATCCGAGGTTCTACAAAGTCTGTTATTCGGTAATACAAAATAATGGAAAAAACTTAGTAAGCAGTGTTGAGCTGGCTGATTCCCTGGTAATTGTTACATTTTATGAAAGCACCTTTCTTCTTAAATAAGGGTATGATCATTGATTCCTTCTAGCTCTTCGGCATTTTGTTAGCCTCCCAGATATCAACGATTAAATGACTCAACACCTCACAGCCCATGTTGACCCATAAATCTTCAATAATTTCACTGGTATTCAATCAGAACCTGAGATCTTGTTATTCTTAAATTTGTTTACAATCAGATTAATCTCCGAATCTGGTGTGTTCGCTTCATGGTCATTCTCTTCATCTTAGATAGATAGATACATAAAAAATAACTTTATTCAGGGTCAAAGTCCATTGAGAACAACAAAATCATACCAAAATAAAAGATTACTTCTGGCCTAAAGGTTTGAAATAATAAATAAAATAAAAATTTAAAAAAGTTAAAGAAAATATTAAGTGAACATGCTATATACAAAACAATTAAACCTATATATAATCGTAAAACAGCATAAATGTACACTTTTAAGAAAAAAATAAATTAAATTGTTCTTAAAATAAGTTCTAAGCTTTCATTGAAAAAAAAAGAAAGCTGAATCTGTCAATGTCTAAGTATGTATAAAGACTAAAAAAAGCGAATATGTACCAACGTCAATAAGTAAATATGTATAAAGAAAAAAAAAGACTAAGTATGTAAATGCTGAATAATATGTGAATACTTTATAAGAACAGGCTGTCCAACGATTCACTCCAAAAAACTTCTATACTTTTCCAGTTTTCCAGATTTTTCCGATTTTTTTTTCTATTTTCAATTGTTTTTCCCATTTTTACAGATATTTCTAGTTTTTTACTCCCTCTCTACGTCCTGACCAAATAATAAAATGTTAAAAAACAAAATATAAGAAAGATATTCAGCAGCGTAAATGATTTTAAAATTATATTTAAATCCTCAAGTAAGTATTAGGGTAAGCGCACCAGTGATGGATATAGCTAAGGAATTTGTTGGCTTATGCTGCCATAATTATTATAATTATTCTCTTTTGGACATTTAGAATCTGGAGGGACCTTTTTTTATTTAACACTTTAAAATTGAAAAAATATACAGTTATGCAAGTAAAATCTCCATTAAAAATAAACACCTTTTTGCTCTTCTGATGAACACACCGAAATTCAATTGTTCTAGTAATGGACAGAGGTCGGTACCAGTAATGGGCATACCCCAGAAAAATTCTAAAATCTTTATTTAACTATAAAGATTATGTAACTTACTCTCTTAGCAAAACTTAGTAGGGAAGCATGGAAGGCACTGATCTCAAGAGCACTATATAAACAACAATGAAAGGCATTTTAAAATTTCTTTTGAAAACTTTGTTCATGTAGTTGTCAATAGAGGGTATCGTTCTTCAATCTAGAAAAACCTGGAACCTTTAAATCAACAAGGAAACTTGTTATTTACATTTAAAGTCCAACCTGTGCATCACTGGGCCTCCTGTCCTTAAATTTTGCGTTCACCTTAATGTACCTTCTATTTCCAAAACAAAAAACACTGCAAATTATTACAGAATGGTTTATTATTTACTAACAATTTTACTTCAAAATTAATATTACTTTCCATATAACATGAAGGACAATAAACAAAAGGTGACTCTTAATATTGGCCTAAATATATA